ATATATATATACAAGACTGTTTAGCTTAAGAGTTATTATTTACTTTATTTAGTGATTTAATATTTAATGATTATTTAGTTTTCATAACAAGTTTTAAAAATTCAGTATTTTAAAAGCAACAGTTATGACAAACTTCATTATGTAACTCTATACGAGTCATACATTGTGTATGCAGTTTAATTGTTGTACTTGGCTTTTATAATACTGTTGGTGTCATCTTACTCGAAGTTTCTAAGTTTTTCTTGTCACTAGATGGATAGAAAGTTCTAGGCCTCAGTTGGAATATTTATAAATAGGCATCCAACAATGTTTTAAAAAAAAATAAAAAAAAAATAAATAAAAGCAAGTGAAAGATAATTAGATAGATCAAGACCGAGCAATTGGCAGTTTAGCCATGAAAGGCAATTTGTAAAGAAGTTAGTGAAAGTGAACTTAGACTGCATGATTGTTAGTTTAGTTGTAAAAGGCAATATTTAATGTGAGTTTCACAGTTTAACAGAGATAAGGAGAGTAATTTGTCTTGTCAAAGGATCTTCTAAAGTAATTGAACCCACCTACATGGACAAAAAGGAGACAATTACTTGAAGTTCTGGATAAAACTGTGGTAACCAAAAAGGTGAGGTAAATGAATTTATCACTATTCTATTGTGATAAAAGAGGAGAGAAGAAATAATTCATCTTGTCAATTGTGTTCTAAAGTAACTGAACTGGCCTGTGTGGACTTTTGAAAAGAAAAGAGAATTACTTAGAGTTTTAGACACAACGTTGATAACCAATAGTGTAATGAGTTTTTGTACATACATTTCACTTGTTTTGAATATATTATTTTAAAACAAGTGGACTGTGTGCCATCCATTTATTGACAACAAGTCACAGATACCTACTGTAGAAGAATCCTGACCTATATACACAAACCCTGACAGTATTTGATAGTAACATCAACACATGCTATTATTGGTTATTTCTATTAATTATATTTCATAATTTCTTTGTATTCTGAAAATTCAGTTCTGATAAAAAAACAAACATTAAACATCAACAACAAAAAAACTACTTTGTACGAACCAGCAAGTGTTCATCGTACCAACAGTGTTTAGGTAAATATCCAGAACTGCCAATTAATCTTCATTAACAGATAAAGATTTACTTTCTTAATCATTTTGAATCATGCTGATGAAAAAGTTTTACAAAACAAAAGAGCACATATAATAATTACATTTTCCTCTCTTGCTTACTTAGATTATATATACACACACAGGAACATGTCAAATTATCTACTTCAATCTCAGAACAGCAGGTTTCATAGTTTTCTTTATAAAAGTGTTATTGATGTACCTATGATATCATGATCTACACACATTTCAGTATAAGGATACATACCCTGTCTTACACCCCAGTACTCCAATGGATAACCAACAAGTTGGAAATAGATACTGTGAACATTTGCTACAAATGAATTAATGCTAATACAACATTAAGGTTGTATCACATCACAACACTAGCAGAATCTGTTGTGGATCATGCAGTATTGAAAGCTGACATTTCTGGTAAAGTGTATGTTAATGTCATCAAATAATAACTTTGTCAAACTAGTCCATTTCTACTTTTTGTTGGAAGCAATCATTACTACAGACGATACACTCACAATGATGTCAATTCAATGAGCTCTTTTCTCAGAATCTCACAACATAATCCTTAAGTTACAATGCAGCATTCAACATTTCAATGTATAGCCCAAAGTACTTTATAACCCTTTCAGGATATACACATAACAACTATAAAGAAAAACCAAACTAACCTTTATTTTCTCTGGTTGGATAAGTGTCACTGCTTTATGAAGAACAGAATGGACAGACACTAGCTGGTTACGAATCTGTTCACTTGGCATACTCTGGAGGTGAGGTCCTTCAACCATCTCTTCATGCTGAGAGACTGTAAGTTCTGAACCAAAATGAAGACAATTTTGGCGATGATCAATTCTTACCTAGAAATTAAAGATAAAACTGATTTAGTCATAAGAACAATGCAAATAATTACTCATAGATAGACAGAATATATCTGATTTAAGATGTTTAAGAGAAAGCATGCATATTAACTTTTATTTTTCATTCCCAGCAAATGAAAGACATTATTCATTAATATTTGGTTCATTTGCTCAATTTATATAAGAGGGAGGAAAAAAAGCTTTCTACCACTGACATTGGATTAAAATACAAATTTTTGGGAGCTATAGAAATCATTATTTCATGAATAATGGTTTAATTTTGTATTTGTTAATTGATACAAATATCTACATACAGTCCTTACATGACAGTTAAATGATAATCTAATATTATATTTGATGGGGGGGGGGGGAAGCAATATCAGCACTGTAGACTATCATATTTAGAACCCTACACAACAGCTCCTCTATTTCTTTCACTCTAGCCAAATACAGCAAGTCAGCCATGTTAACGTTTTTTAGTGTTGATTACCTATAGAATGATCAGAATTCTTGCTTTTGCACCACTTCTCATTCCAACATCAGATATTGTCTGCACATATTACTTTGACCAGGATACATCTTGTGGCACAGTTGTTAAAAATAGTAAATCTTTTTTGTTTTGCTATATTAATCTGTCTTTTTAATCAGACCTATTTTTAATACATGTCTTTGACTTAATATGTTAACTTGGCCAGTAGATGTAAGTACCACATATTTTGACTGAAATTATGAGGACTGTACAATTACTCTGCTGTTCTCAACTGTGTCAGCCTTCATTATTAAAATGAAAAAAAAAACCAAAATGCTACATTCAGTTGAAAAGACAGCCACAAACATTTCTAGGTGTTCACATTAACAAAAGCTACACTATGCTGTCTCCTGCACCTTGAGAGTAAAGCTGGGAAATTTGGTATTTACCAACTGATCAGTCAATTACCCCCTCAAGCTATTACAATAGATTAGTGCAGTGTTCCTCAATTGGGCAGAGAACAGACTGTCCATTATGTTGCTTTGTGCTGTATAACAAACAAATGTTATATCAATATTTCAATTACTTGGATAATTGGAAGAGTAGAAATTACACTTAATGTTTCTGATTATTACTAATTAGTTGATTATTTCTGTGACAATCAATATTTTTGGAATTTCAATTAATTGACTGATGGAGTACTCAAGAACATTAACCTTGATTATTGATTTAATTATAATTTAAGTTAATCGCTTTGTTTATGTGACACTAATTCATTTAGCTGCTGTTTGTAGGTAATTAAATAAATCGGCCAGCTCTACTTAATACATGAAACAAATTCATTTAAAAATATATCTAATACTTCTCTAGCTGAACTTATGTTATCCAATGTGAACACAAGTCTTCTACTATTATTTTGTTTCAAACAAAAATGATTCCTAATGCATCATTAGGCAGAATATTTTGTCTCCCTTCAGAAATAATTCAATTTTTTCCATCTCATTTATTATCTATAAAAGTTACTATTTTGGGATTTCCCATAATACAAGATACCACATTAACAGGTACAAGTGGTTAAAATTTAATGAGAAACTAAGCTGTTTCAGTTTGGTCTTGTATCTTGAATTTAGCTAAACAAAGTTTATTTTTTCAGAAATTTTTATTACATTACCAAAACAGATGGAAATTGTAGCCCTTGTAATGTCGTAAAATCACAAATATTATAGGTAATATTTAAGTAAAAATCTGGATACTGATATCATAGTTAGCTAAAAGGAATATCACACTGTTTTGTAGTGTAGGTAAAACTTCTAGGAGTTTTTCAAGATTTAAATTTCAAATCAAAAACACTACTAAAAGAAAACAAGAAACTATTTCTGAATACTTGTAATTACCTGCAAGTCATTTCTTCGAACAGCCTCTACAACCATTTTCTCTAGGTAAAACTTATCAGCAAAAGGTGTGAGTTCCATTAAATGTGTCAGCTCAATCGTGTGATAAACCTGGGATACCTGGAAATTAACATAATTAATTAATAATAAAATCAACATATCATGCAGAATATTTTCGATAAACGTTTACCTAAATTTGTTTTGAAGAAATGATTATAACTGTACAGACCTTAAAACATAAATTATTTAACTTAATGTCTAAATTATCTTTATTTTTGTTTATGTTACCACCAAAATTGTAAAAACAAATTATCTTAAAAACATGTATGAGTAAAATAGGCTGTAGAGAAAAACAAATAATAAATACGTAGCACAATTATTATTTTCAAAAGAAGAGTACAATACGTACATATTCATATGCTTTCTTACTTTTTTTTTTTAATAGGTTTCAAGTTAAGTGATAACAAGAACTTACTGTAGAATAACTATTTAACATTATATAATGGCATGTTTAACATTCTTGAAAGCCAAAGGAACAATAGTACTGTATTTATGCTGAAAGTGTAAGATTATTGTATTTGGTATGAAAAAAAAAATTTCACTTTACTAGTTATGCCATATATTGAATTCAATACAGATGTATTACATGTTCTCTTAAAAAAACAGGATCATTCACAAATGTGTACTCTTTGAAAAACCTAAATTCCCTATTTAACCCATTGGCTTGAAATGATGATTTGCAATTTCAAGCTTTAAACTTATAATTATAGCAAACAGATTACATGCTTTATTATTATCATCAATTTTGTTATATGTTTTTAGAAGATATTATAAATTTGATTTATTTTTAACTAATATGATTTTTTTTTCATTTTATACTTTAGAGAAATGATCAAGGCTCAAACACTCATCTGTGGGAGTAGCTGAGAAGACAACCCTAAGTGAACATACTTTCTCAGATCATGACCATACCATCTTGTACAAAGAACGTTACCTCCTTTAACAGCCGCATTATTGTTAGGTTCTGCAGACAAGGAATGTACTGCTTCAGGTCAGGACAATCTTCCCACTTGTTGAGGAAGTCAATACACTGGGAGACACGATTACAGAGTTTCAGTGGATGAAATTCCACCTCTAACCACCGATACAAGTCTTGAAGATGTGGGTGGGCATACTGTATAACTCCAAATCTTAACTGGGAAAGAAATACATCTGAAGAATAAAGCTTTGATACTCCAGTCAACTCTACTTCTAAACATTAAGATTTAGACACTGTTATAGACACTGACTCATACAATTTTTCACTAATTGTGATTTTCTAACCAGCTATGTTACAAGTGTATCTATGCTCTTAAAAAGTCCAATTTCAATACATTATTCCTCATTTATTGGGAAGAAAGTCATCTGAACTCACTCATGAACCAACATACATGTAAAATAGTCACTGAAAAAATACACAAGTTGCAGCAAAGCAAAGAAAATTTGCAATAAGAGAAGAAAGTTAAGGTTTCTCTTAACTTCATGTGGAACTTTTCACTGAATTAATGTTAAGAACATAAATTGTAAACTAGACTGTCATCAACTTATCAATAAAAGGGTTTATTTATACTGAAAATCACGTTTATATGTTATAACTGTTTATATTTCTTTAATTTTTCTCACAAGTTTACACAAAAAAAAAATTAAGATCTTTGTTTTAATGAATGCACATATCTTGAGAAATTTACTATGCAATTAAGCGTTGGCTTCATTAAATATTACATTCAACTAATTAATTATTTTTACGAGACTTGGATAGTTGGAATAATCAAAAATAGTAATAATTGAAAACCTCAATTTCCATCAATTGATTATTTCTCCGAGTCGTAACTCTAATCAATTAAACTGAACAACTTTGAATTAACTGAAAATAACCCATAATAATGAGAAATCATAATTGCAATATTTTAGTCACTTGAACAGTTGGAATAATTGAAAACACCAATTTGTATTAGTTGATTATTTGTATGACATTGGTTGATTAATTATAATTTTGATTAGTCAATTATTCTATGTGATACTAATTGATTTAATTGATTCTCAAAGGTAATTTATAAATCCAATTAAATGAATTACTCACCTAGTTCTAACTAACCTGTCTGAACCACCATAACTAAGTTACTGTAGGGTATTTAGTAGGTGAAAGTTAGTATCATAGTAATGTTCAAATATACATAAATAACCTAAAGAGGTCAAAAATGTATTTATTTTGTGCTTTTCAAATAAAAGTTTTCTATACCCATATCAGCCGTCTCTACAATAGTATAAAAAATATTCCAATATACACCTCATTATAATACTGAAAAAAGTAATTAATAGAAATAATTGTTTCACAGGATAAAAAAAAATGCAGAGAGTAACATGTAATTAGCAATATAATGTGTTACTTTATTTTTTAATTAACTAATATGTAAGGACAATTTGTTTCTTGTTTTCTGAAGCATGAACTTTCTTTTTCTTAGTAATGCGCCCAACACTGCATATCTGTTACAAACGTCATGGAAGTTAAACTTATTTTATTATAATTCGTGTATACATAACAAGCAAATTAAGCTATGAATGACACATAAGCTATTTACAATAATTCTGCTAATTAACCATACTCAAGGTTTGACTACTGCCTGTGAGCTTTGGTCACCTATTATTATTATTATTATTTATACTTGAAATGTGACAACACAAAACATACAAGAAACAGATGATAGTGCTAATGTTAACAGTGACCAAAAAATGTTGCATCTTGTTTTTTTGATTCAAGATCAAGGAACACCATGTTTTAAACACAGTTTGTCAAAATGGGTACACTGTACAAAGAAAAAAATTTTTTGTCAAACTTTTAATTTGTAATTATGAATACATACTACTGGCAAGCTTGCCTTTTTAATCACTTTTCAATATATGTGTGATAAACCTTTTGATTTTACTACATAAACTGTATGAAATATAAAATTAGAATTTTGATATATATGTTAAGTGTATACCCATACATGGTTACAGCAACAACAGACAAACAAACACAAATTTTACAATGTATGAATGAATATCCAATTTTTATTATTTTCCCCCAGAAGCAGCTAAATCCTCTTTCAATTATTTTACCATAACAAAAGAATTTAACAGGCACCTCTGGATGGATGAATGGATATAAAAAATAAGCTTTAAGTAAACATTATAAGTATGTTGTAACAAAGCAATGGGAAATTTGAATCAAGTATTTTTACTAAATATATGTGTGAATTTACTGACTCAATCGAACTCAGACCCTGACTAATCTGAGTGCAAGAATTTTCATGCTATGACTTAAAATAATTTTTTCATTTCACAGTTTTTCGTATTTCATTTGCATAACCTCTATGACCTCCTTGATTAACAGTTTTTTTTTGGTAAAACTTCTTACCTTATTTATTTTCTTCTTTACCCTAACACTAACTGTAATGGAATCAATAACCTGAAATAAATCTAATTTGCCTTTTTTGCTTTCTAGAATGACTGCATATTGTAACAGACAGTTATACAATACTTGTTCTTAGAGCCAAGCTGGGTTCATTTAGAAGAACTTAGTGAATACTGAAACCATTTTCACAGTGAGGAAACACTGTGTAAACAAGCGATTAAGTTACAAGCACTACATGAATAAATTTCAATCACAGTACATGATGTACATATGCTAGGATGCGGAACATCAAATTTGTTTAATTTTTTTTTCTCATCAAATTTTCTTGTGTAACCTAGCAAGTTTCTAACTGTTACACTTTTGTTACTTTTATAAAAAAAAAATGTACATAAAAAGTGAGAAACTTATACTGACTTCTGGAGTAAGACTTCTTGCTTTCAACAGACGAAGCACTGTATGCCTACTTTTCTTTGTAACTATGTTGGTGGTACAAAATATTTTAATTTTTTATCTCAAATATGCAATTTAGAGTGAAATCATTATCATGCACAAAGAACAGAATGTCCAAAAACTACTACAATTTAACATCTTAAAGAACAGACTTCTTCTTGAAACAACACTCAAGACCATCTGTCCCAATGGCTAAAGCTGCTAAAATATTGATAATAGCAAAAACATTGATTTTCCAATTGTTAGACAAAATTAAAATTTTGACTCAATCTCTACAGTACTAATCAATTTTAGTGGAGTGAAATAGGGATTTGTAGCTTGAGAAGATTAGTTGTAGGCTTGAAAATAAATTCTTAGTATTTTGATTTAACTTGTTTCAGTATATTTTTGATAATCCCCATTCTCTTTTTAAATGAACAATTTTTAATTATCTCATTGTATATTGTTTTTTTAATTAAATTTGGCATGTAAAGAAAGTTAGAAAATGTGCCCTATTTTATCCTGCTGCACTTTACAAAATCCATTTCTATAAATGAAATTGTAAATAAAATATTCAGGCGCACATACCAAATCTTTGACCAGTGATGATCTTGTCGGTGGATTAGATAAACCCAGTAATGTAGCTAGCATCCTGTTGTTCTTATCAATGATATTTTCATCAGTCTCGACCAGACGGTCAATCTCAGGTCGATTGGGTGGCATAGGAATGGCAAGTGTTGCAACTACAACTCTGGATGCCATCCTAGGTAAGAAATTACACACACACACATAGAAAGCATGTATAAATAAAATACTTATAGGTTTTAACAGTGATCATTATTACACACACATACGCACACACAAGACAACCTTTTCAATTTTTAATTTAATAATAAAATAATTCCCTCTAAGCAAAGTGAAGGGAGGGGAATATTTTTTCAGGTCCATATAATATTTCTTTTATAATTTTAACACTATATAACACTATCATTTATTTATAAAAAATGTGGTACATTTTGTACATATTTCCCCCCTCTATTTTTAAAATAATATTGCAAAAACAAGGAAGCCAAAGGAACTTATCAACAAAACTTTACAAGTTCCATCCCTCTAGTTCATATTTGATATATATGAAGTTCCTAAACGTATAAAATACCTAGTTTTAAAATCCTAATGTTAATCTATAATAAAAGATTACAAAGATTGAATGCTGTACATAAACTTTTCATATGTAAGCTTTGTTCAAAGTTAATGTTAACTCAAAAATAATGTAACAATTAACAAAGTAAGTCAATGTCTTCTGCCCTACAATAATTTCAATCTAACTAAAGTAGCTGCCACAGATGTTATATTACCTCTGGATTTCATCAGCAGTTATGTTCTTCTTGAGTTCTCTTGATAGATGGAAAAGACGAAACAATGCACATGCATGGAACAGGTAGTTTCCTGCTTTCCAAAATACAAGAGCAAGTTTTTGACGATAATTGGCCATCAGCTGAGGTTTTGGTGGTTTCTTAGACAGTGCCATCAAACTGTGAATATCCTCTACAGCTTTATACGCTTCCTTTAAAAGGTAAATACAAATGTAGTGCATAGTAAAGAGGTAGGTATAACACACTTGAAATTAATATTGTTAAACAGTTTAAAATGGAATGGAAATACATCTAACATAACTGAAAACAATTTTAAAAGCACAATATTTTTTTATTCATATACAATACTTGGTTGCTATAAAACAAAAATTGTCTCAGTCAGCAATAAAGTATACACCACAAGTTTCTTGTAATTTTAAAAAAATCAAAATAGGCAAATATTTTTTGAGCTGGTGTTAACAAAATCAGTTGCTTAAAACTCTTCCGACACGGGGTCGGTTGATTTGATCGAGTCACATGACCTTCTGTACTCTTTCAAAGTTTACATAAATTTAATACTTATAACTATATATATATATATATATATTGGGTTGGGTATATCTTCACGACATTTGGCAGTCTTTCAGTTAATATTACAAGGGTTTCACATAAAAAAGGTCATATTTCTTAGTGAAGTACTTTTACTAAAATAAAATAAAGTTTTGTCCATGAATATATTTCGTATTTGTTTTGAATAGTCCGTGTGCAAAGTAATTTGTTATGTGTGTTACACTAGTGGAAATTTTTTATATACATTTCCTTTTAGAATTAAGAAGTTAAAACTTGTATACCATTAAAATATGGATTATTAGCCAAGATTTTATGCTACTCTAGTTGGTATAACATAAACAAAAAGTAGTTCAATAAAATTTTGAATGTAAGACACTAAAACCTTGTGTCATGCGCAGTAAAGGGTACCTGTGCCGAAAGACTTAAAGGGTTATTAAAAGTGATCCCGATTACTTATTTTGTCAGCATTTTGTGTGTGTATATATATATATATATATATTAATGTATCTTAAAATTATTTTAAAAATGACATTTAAGTATTGTTTCCAGTGTATACTATATTATAATCTATGAGAGAGATCAAGCCAGCCAAATGATAAATATGTAATCAGTAAATACATTCACTTGAAAATAATTTGTATTTTTCACTTTAAATACCTTGCTATTAAATAATTAAGAGACATATATGTATATCACACACACACACAAAAAGTAATTCCCCATAAAATTACTGCCATAAAAAAAGTTGAATATTCTTCTGAAACTATTTCAAAACTCATAAAAGAAGATAAATTTGGAATGAAAACAAAACAAATATATCACTCCAATTTCCATTATTTCTTTATCATTACTTTATTCACTTGCTTTTTTTTCTTCAAAGCTCACCTGCCAAAGTTCCATTTGAATAGCTATATCCAACTGCACAAGACGTGTTTCTAGATGCATGGCTTGGCTTTCTGGATTGTTCAAATTCACAGCAGTTTGCTGGTTTTGATGTTTCTGTATGTGACTGAAGTGTGTGCGAAGCTGTAATACAAATGCAAATCACACTTAAATACACATACAAACAAACTTTCTATCCCGTGGTTAACTAGTGAAGGTAAAATACATTTAACTAGGCCCAACTGCAAGATAATAGTTTTTTGAACTTTTATAAAGTATGCCACAGAAAATTCAGTATTTAGAATTAATATCACACTGACTTTTTTCACTTGAATGTATCTTTTTTATCTTCATCTATTTTCCAATTTTTTGTTTTTTCACAAGTGTAATATCTTCAATTTGGGTTTATGTTTATAACATAGATTTCCTGTATTATTTTATTTTGATTTTGTAACAAAAATGTACAACGTACAAAAATTATTATTATTATTATTATGAAACTCACATTCTCACCTAGTACTACTTATGAAACTTACATTGTCACACAACTTCCTAAACTCAGTCTTACGACTATATTTGAGACAGAACTTGAATGCCTGTTGGGCAATATCATGGTAGAGACGTTCAACTCTAGAGTTGTTCCTCAGTAACTCTAGACACTGGCGATAAGACTCCCACAGGAACTTAACCCATGGAGTGAGAACAACCCTGTCTTTCCTATCTTGAGTATCTTCACTACTCACAGCACTCAAAAGGAGGCTAAAGTCATGCAAAAAAAAACTGAAGTCTACAAATATAGGGTGAAAATTTTAAATACAAGTCTCAAGTTTTATTATATTAGGTATAATTAACAGTATTATCTTTTTGAAATACCCGAGTTTCAAGAGGTAAATCCATAAAACAAATTCAAATACATACACCAGAAGAGATTGATCATATTGTACTTAAGTGGATGACAGTATCTTATTAAATGAATCATTTTCAGAATTATTAAACTCATATTTATATGTTAAAAAATAACTGATTAGATTATATCTTGTCTTGAATACATAGATAATAACTATGCACATTTAGATAGAGAGAACTTTTCATAGTTAACCTCTAAGTATTCAAAAATGCAAAAACTAAAAAATAATATAACTAAGAAAATCAAATGATAAGTATTATTTTGCAGAGTTCAAAGTCAAAACTTATATTTCCTTAACAACACATTACCTCTCAGGGGTTTGCATTTGATCCAAATCATCAATATCCAGGATGCTCTGCTGGGATTCCTGCCTTGCAGCTTCCGTTTTTTCTTCCGCCAACCTCAAGTACATACGAACAACATCTTCCAGGGATTTGATATTAACCTAATCACAATTTTAAGTTTAAAAAAAATTACTAATGCCTCTTAAAATAATGTAGTTTATACTCTAATTTGTTCAAGTTCTGTTACATACAAATATTCTTCCAACATGATCATGTAAGTAGTACATGAAAACAAGTTTAACCCCTACAATTTATAAAACTGTCAATTTTCAAAACACAGTCCTCTAAGCTATACATGCACCAAAAAAAAAATTATACAAGTCACAGATAAGGCTGAAACAAAAACCTCATAATTTTGCAATCAATTTTAATAATTACTGTTTGGAGTTTATTATGTATTTCAAATTGAAAATAAGCAAGTCCACCCAATTTATTGGTCAGTTCTTTACAATAGCTGTTGTAATAAAAATAAAATTACTCAATACAATGCAATATATGGACCCAACTGATAGTAAACAGTATAAAAATTAGTAATTTGAGGGTTGGTATGCATAAATCTACATACACAACAGTTAAATATTTTCCAACCAGAGTAATTTGAATTTTAAAACTGCTGGAAAGAATTTCCTAACAACTTGAATCAATGAATGTTGTAGCTGACTTGGTTCAAAATATATGACCTCCGTTTTTGTATGTAATAAAAAAAAAAATTTTAAAATCACTCAAGCTGTTAATAAATAATTTCAATGCTTATACTTCTCTGGATGTTAAATTTATCAGAATTACTTACCCATCCTCTCTTGAACTCTTAATCCTAAAGTAAATATCTGAATCCCAGTTTATAAGTTGTATTACATACAAATAATTACAGGCTCCGCTGCTATTTAAAAACATTTTATTGAACTAAGTAAGCAGGTCCAATTCTGTTGAACATGAGGTTCCCAATAATTGATAAAATACAAACAAGATTCTCTGGTGTAACTATCTGTTTCAGAGTCTATTTTGTAGGCTTTTCTCTGGATAATAATTATATATCAGCATTCCATACTGTATTTGTATGATTGTACTTATAAAAGTAAAACAATGATAAGTGCAACTTAAAGTGCATTATAATTATCATATCTTTTATAAACAATAATCATGATTAATCATTGCTTCCACAACAATTAACTTTTGACATGAAACTGTTCATACTTGATTTTTTGTTTTTCTGATAAGTCTTACCAATCCCACTCTGCTAAAGCCTATGACACAATTTTGATGGAATGGAAATTCTATTTTTAAATACTGACATCATTTAGAAGTTGTATACTATGCAAGGCACTTAGTCACAATTTAACCTTTTCATAATTATTAAATTAACTAATTTTACATTTATTTAAATCTAATAATACAATGCATTTAAGAAAATAGCAGTTAGCCTGTTATAACAATTATGGTGTTAATCCACCTAATAATTATAAATATGCATATTCTCAATGTTTAGATCTTAAATGTTGGAAACTCAAATAATAAATACACACTGCAAATATTTTAGAACTTTTGTCAAATTACTTAACAGTTCATTGAGATGTATGCATCATATGTTCTATATTTCAAACAATATATAAATAAACTTATGAACATAAAAATTTAATTAATCATAACAAGTCTTCTATTATATATCAAATTAAGAGAATTAAAAATATTAAAAAAGATTATGATATAACCTGTACTAAATGACTTTGCCAGTATTTTTTACCCAATAATTCAGAAGAAAAAACTATTTATTTAAAAAATAACAGATTATGACACACTATATCTGCTACAAATTTCAAGACTTCATATCTAAACAGTCTATTAGCAATAAAATGTAGTAAATTAATCTGTTTAATGCTCATATTGATACATTTGTTGGTGTAATTATGTTTAACTTACTGATCTGCTGTGTTTATAATATATTAGATGTCAAAAAATTCTGCTTGTCACAAACACTGCCACAGCGTGTATACTATGAATGTTTATTTTGTCTTGTCGTTCCTTGTCATAGTTTTGAACACTAGTGAAATCACCAGAGACAACATATCTTTAAGGTAATATGAGTGGAAGCTTTAGATATGCTGATTTTTAGACTACCATATTTAGTCTTATCAAACAGATTAAGTCTGGAATATGTTAATAATCAGTTTCCATGGTGACCTTTAAATTTAGAACAAGTTATCCCCATCAATACAGTGGCAAAAAAAATGGAAACAATACTCACAAAGGCACAGCAATGTGATGAAATTTTTGACAAATGAAGTTCCCGCCTTGGGGTTATGGCCAACTAAACTTTGAGGAATCCTATCCACTACTTGCTTTGAACTAAGATGATATTTTCCAAGAATTTTTAGCACTTGCTTCAATTGTTGTGCTTGTATTAATAAGTTATGAGTGGTTACTTTTTTTGCTGGTAAGTCTTATCAGTCCTGTTCTGCTAAAACTTATGGCTTTCTTTCAGAAGAAAGAAAATCCTATTTTTCAATACCGACATAATTCAGAAGTCTATCAAGAATTTTTAGCACTTGCTTCAGTTGTGTCAATTAGTTATGAGTGTTCCTTGTGAGTACAGTTTTTCTGCCCAAAAGTACCTCCAGACTGAAAAGCAATCTTCCATCACAGATGATCAGGTGGATATCCAAATGACAATTTCATCGAAGAGGCCTATAGACTATAACTGAACCACTGAAATCTAAGCAAACACAATATCATCAGAAGTTTTGGTAAACTCCCAAGAACCAAGCTAAATGTAACGTAAATGCTTTTTTGTACATCTTTTTGCTTGACTGTTTAATCATTGTGCAAGTATCATCACTTAGCAAAAACACAATTTTTGGTTACCCACGTGTTTACAGTATGCATTTTTAAAACCCCATTGTAACCTATGATCTATGTTAAATTTTCTGTGTAAAAGATGTGATAGTGGCAAGTGATTGCATTAAAATCAAGTTAAATGTAACTGCTTGTTAAAGACCAACCAATTCACGGAAGTATACAAATTTGCAGTCAACTGACAGAGGTTATGTTGAAAATTGTTAAATCTCTCACTACGGGCTCAGTCCCAGCTTGTAACCATTTTGTGCTTGTTATAGTTTTCATGCTATAACTTTTAATACAGTAAACACATCTTCACAAATTTTGCAGATTATTAGTAAATATTAAAAGGCTTACATACACAAATTATCAGGTTCTTTTTTAAAAGATATTTTAAGTAACATTTTTCTTTTAGAATGTTGACTATCGAACATGCAAAGTAATTTTGATTTTAAGATTAAAAATTCTTTTATGCATCAGAAAATTTTCTAATTTCACATGAGAGATCTCGAAACTCCAGATATTTATCCAACGTTTTTCAGAAAAAAAAACTTTATATTTTATCTGTTATTTTTACTATTGTACTTATGTATGAGTTTGGTCAATTTGACAGACCTCATAACTACCATAAAAAATTTTGAAATAGATATAAATTATGCTTTTTCATTCTAGAATGACTATAAATTATAACATAAACATTTAGTCTAAATAGCTTAAATCTCATAACATTACACATCTATATTTATTCACCTTTCAGCCATGCCTGACTAACATTAAAGAAGTTGCAATGACATATTCCTGTATATAAAACTAGCCATTACAAAGTGACCTGTCTCGGCTGTGTTATAGTGGACTAGTATTTTGTAAAATACTCTCACATTTTGGTTATAATACATTATATATATGTATATACATTATTACAATTTACAAATAGTAAAAAAAACAAAAACAATGAACAGTAAATAAAGAAGTATAGAAAACAATCTCTTCTAGTTAAGAACTTTTGTACTTCTTTGCTACTTGCCATAAGTTGCCAAGTCTTATCAAATTTTGCATCTGGAGGATGTAAAACAAATAATTTTTTTTAGGTTTTATATATGCATTTTCAAATAAAAAATCATAAATTATTATATCAATACCACAGAATTGAACTATAATTTATCAAGCTTAGTAACTAAGCTGTATTTGGGTGTAAAAGAATATGATTTTTCGAGCTCACTAATGTCTTACCTTACCACTTGGAATCTAGTATGAAAAGAGTTTCCCAAACAAATACTTCACTGAGGCTGAGAAAACCACTATCGAGACATTCTGTGATTTTGATTAGTTATACACACATCACTGGGTGAAGCAGATGTACGTGAGCAAGTATTTTCAAAAAGGGAAGAGAAGGGCAGGGTCACCTTGGTTGATTCAGTAAATATATTAATATCTCAGAAAATAGAAAAGATGGGAGGTTCTTACCATATATTCATATATGTATTTGGGTATCACACACATCTAATTTGAACTAATGCTGCATTCAACATACCATGTGACACATAAAAATCAATATTTAAGATTTAACATTTACTTTAAATCAAGACATTAATTAATGTATAATACTAAATTTTGAATTATAATCTACAATTTGATACCAAGCTTATTGATATAAATTCATAAAATAGTAATTCAATACAATTTTGAATGTGAGGCTACAAATGCGATGATATGGCCTTTGACCATAGGAAGACCAGTCTTGTTAGGGTTAATAACTGACCTGCTGGCAAATGTTCCTGTACTGAAAAAGTCCCTCCTTGGCAGTATGACTCTTTTTCAATTCTACACAGAGCTCCAGATACTTGGTCATGATGGGTTCATGGATCTTGGTCCATGTGCGATGTTTACGACTTTTGATGACATCATAAAGAGCATCCAAAGCCCGCTGCTTTTTTCCGACATCGATAAACTCTACATAATTAGAAAAAAAACAAACTTGTATATGGTCAATGAAAATACAAAAAGACAATGCCAAATCTGTTGAAAATTTTAATCCCACAAAACCAGAACATATAGTTTACATACCATTTCAGTATTTACTCTTTCAGCCCATTTTGTGCTTGTTATAGTTTTCATGCTATAACTTTTAAATTAGTAAGTAAATGTTAATGAAATCTGGCAGGTTATCAGTAAATATTACAATGCTTTCATATGCAAAATATCCAATTTTTTTTTTTTATTAATTCTTTAGGTTTGAAAAGCAATGTTTCTTTCATTCCTTTTTTTTCACATCTTCCCTATCTATCAAGCAAAGTAATTTTCATTTTACGATTAAAAATACTTTTATGCATCAGAAAATTTTG